CAAAAACTAGCTCATCCTCTTGGCTGTTGTCTCTCTATGCAATAATTTTGTAGAATTATTAACGTTATTATATTATTATTAATTACATTAGTGCGGTGGATGTGAATGCTACGTTCCTGATACCATAATTTTTGAAAGGATAAGAAACTGTATCATCCTCAGCGTTCCTGTGGTCCTGGTGCAATGATTCCTTAAGTTTGTATTAGGAGAACATAGGCAGTAGGAGGTGTCTGTGAATAATGCAAGTGTTAAAGAAACTCTCGAGTTCAGGCGATCCTGATGCAAAATTTCTTTGAAAATCAAGAAACTGCTCATCCTCTTGCCCTCTGTTCTTTGATGCAATAATTTTAAAAGAAAATTCTGTATTAGAAGAACATTAGTGCGCCAGGAGGTGGATGTGAATGCTACGCTCCTGATACAATATTTGTTGAAGACCAAGAAACTGTTCATCCCTTACGCGTTCCTGTGATCCTGGTGAAGTATTTTTAAGTTTTGTATTAGGAAAACATAGTGCAGTGGGGATAGTCTGTGAATGCAAGTATCTCTCTATCTCGAGTTCATACGATCCTGATAAAACTATTTCTTTGAAAATCAAAAACAGCTCATCCTCTTGCCTCCTGTTCTCCTGATGCAATAATTTTCAAGAAATTCTGTATTAGGAAGAATGTAGTGTGCCAGGAGGTGGATGTGAATCTACGCTCCTGATGCAATGGTTTTTTGATGACCAAGAAACTGTATCATCTCTGCGTTCCTGTGATCTTGGTGCAATGATTCTTTAAGTGTTTATTAGGAGACATAGTGTAGGGGGTCTGTGAATGCAAGTGAATCTCTCTATCTCGGTTCATACGATCCTGATATATATATTTTCTTTGAAAATAAGAAACTGACTCATCTTCTTGCCCTCCTGTCCACCTGATGCAATAGAATGTTATCTTAAATACATATATTTTTGAAATTCTTTATAGTGCTAAACATTAGAGGTATTTGGGTGAAACATACACTGGGTGGGGGGGGGGTATGGAATACCCCCAGCTTACAACATTTGAATTATATTTTCCAAAAGGTTACATGAGAGTCCTCGATGAGAGTCTCGGATAACAAGAATAAAGAATCCTCCTTTTGCTGAGGGTACTGCGAGGGGGAATTCAATACCCTCCAAGAACTCCCACCCCGTACAAACGTTCTTCCCAAGAAATTGGGTAAAATTCGATGGTGGATTTGTCGCAAATTATCATATGAGTGCCAAAGCTGAAGTGAAGGATATCTGTAAAAGGATCTAAAGAGCATCTAAAGGACAGGACTGAGGAGGCCTCAAAAAAGACCCGAAAACACCTGAAGAAGAATGTACAAAAAAAAAGTAAAATGGTTTTGAAGATAATTAGAAAAGTGTCCGTGATGGTCCTAAGAATCTGGAAAGAAACCCGAAGAGGATCCGAAACGGATAAAGGGGAATTAGAAGCGATCTGAATGGAGTCCGAAAGGGGCTGTGAAAAAGATTGAAGATGATCACCTGAAGAAGACCTGTAAGAAAACCGAACGGAATTTGAAAGGGGTGCCAAAAAACCCAAGAGGACAAGGTACCAGAGAACATATGAAGAATGACATGAAAGACCACCCAAAGAGAACCCTGTGGAGAACCTGAAATAATTCTGTAAAGACCCCTAAGAAGCTCTACGCTTTAGATCTAAGGAGGACGTGAAGGAACTAAAGAGGATCTGAAACAGGACTATGAAGATGGTTTCAAAAGGGCTCTCAGAAAACCTGAAGAGACGTATACTGACTTACTCAAAATTCCTGTTGCGGTAACCATTTAGAGACATCACGTTTTTCTGGTAGACTCTTCGAGGCGTATCCTTTTCGAATTTCCACACAACGGTCAGCGGAAGTTTCGCAAAGTCTCCAGAATTAATCGGAATTTTCAAAGAAATTATTGTATTAAGATCGTATGAACGCGAGATAAAGAATCACTTGCATTTACAGACACCTCCTACGGCACTATGTTCTCCTAATACACAACTTAAAGAATCATTGCACCAGGATTACGGGAACGCAAGAGGATGGTACAGATTCTTGGTCTTCAAAAAGCCATGGTATCAGGAGCGTGGCATTCATATCCACCTCCTGTCGCACTAATGTTTTGCCAATACAGAATTTTCCTTTGAAAATTATTTCATCAGGAGAACAAGAGGGCAAGAGGATGAGTCAGTTTCTTAATTTTTAAAGAAATTATTGCATCAGGGTCGTATGAACTCGAGATAGAGAATCACTTGCATTCACAGACACCTCCTACTACAGTATGTTGCCTAATACAAAACTTAAAGAATCATTGCACCAGGATCACAGGAACGCAAGAGGATGATACAGTTTCTTGGTCATCAAAAAACCATGGCATCAGGAGCGTAGCATTCACATCCACCTCCTGGTGCACTAATGTTTTTCTAATACAGAATTTCCCTTTGAAAATTATTGCATCAGGAGAACAAGAGGGCAAGAGGATGAGACAGTTTCTTGATTTTCGAAGAAATTATTGCATCAGGATCGTATGAACTCGAGAGAGTGAATCACTTGCATTCACAGACACCTACCTACTGCACTATGTTCTCCTAATACAAAACTTAAAGAATCATTGCACCGGGATCACAGGAACGCTAGAGGATGATACAATTCCTTGGTCTTCCAAAAACCGTGATAACAGGAGCGTACGAGGAGCGTAGCATTCACACCCACCTCCTGGCGCACTAAATGTTCTTCTAATACAGAATTTTCCTTTAAAAATTATTGCATCAGAAGAACAGGAGGACAATAGGATGAGCCAGTTTCTTAATTTTCAAAGAAATTTTGTATCAAGATCGTATGAACTCGAGATAGGCAATCACTTGCATTCACAGTCACCTCCCACTGCACTATGTTCTCCTAATACAAAACTTAAAGAACCATTGCACCAGGATCACAGGGACACAAGAGAATGATATAGTTTCTTGGTCTTCAAAAAAACATGGTATCAGGAGCGTAGCATTCACATCCACTTCCTGGCGCACTAATGTTCTTCTAATGCAGAATTGTTCTTACAAAATTATTGCATCAGAAGAACAGGAGGGAAAGAGAATTCTTGATTTTCAAAGAAATTATTGTATCAGGATCGTATGAACTCGAGATAGATAATCACTTGCATTCACAGACACCTCCTACTGCACCTATGTTCTCCTAATACAAAACAAAGAATCATTGCATCAGGATCACAGGAACGCAAGAGGATGATACAGTTGCTTGGTCTTCAAAAAATCATTGTATCAGGAGCGTAGCAACGCGAGAAGCTCTTTTCCTCTACTTGTTGCTCTATTTGACCTCCTCGCTTTTTCCGCTTTGCTCAAGCTGCCGAAACTGAAGCGTCATCTCGGAAGGGTAGAAATTGGGGCGAGGCGAGAAGCCGAAGATATGCCCATTATTGTGTTTCTTTTAATACAATGATGGGGGACATAGCTTCGGCTGCGCCGTCTCACCTCTGCTGCTAATACCATTTAGCCCTAGCCCTCTCGTGTCCGTTCTTTTCCATTCTCTTTTTGATTGTCCAGATCCTGTCGCACTTTTCTTTCGCGCCTGTCCGCCATGTTACTTAGCGATAACTGTCTACAGGGCATCCTAATATCAAACTATTCATAACCCAAGGGGGCTTGCAGTCGATGGACGAGGCGATCTACGCCCACGTGCCGATGATCGGAATACCGTTCTACGGCGATCAACCGTACAATGTAAGAAGGATGGCGAGCAAAGGAATCGGTCTGGAACTCGACCACCGGACCTTGGACAAGGAAAAACTCAAGGCGGCCATTTTGGAGGTCGCCAACAACCCCAAGTAAGTGGTCTTCCTCTAAGTCCTCAAAACTGACGGTGCAAGTTTCAGGTACCGCAACACCTTGAAAAGGTTGGCGCAACTGGCGCAAGACCAACCGATGACGGGAATCGAGAACCGAACCGAGTCGACTTACGTTGCGATCCGTTCTCGACGAAGTGCACCAGCTCCACGCACAACGTCGCGACGTCACCGAAGTCCTTGTCGTGCTCGAGCTTCGACAGTTTCGCCTTGAGATTGCGAAGGACGACGTCGATTTCGTCATCGCCGACGCTATCCCTCGTCTCTAGCTCGCGAACGATTTTACCTACCCCCTCGTAGAACCACGCGAAGTTTTCTTGGGCCACCTCCTTCAGGTTGTAGCGGACCTTCTGCGAGAACCTGGTGATGTCCATTGCGAGATACTTGGCGCTGACACGTTGCGCTCCGTCGTGGTGTTCGGTTTCGAACGCGCGACGAATGTCTCGGATTGCCGCGAGGTAATCCCCGAAGATGGTCTTGAGCGTAGCGCGAAATTCGGGGTAGTGAAGCTGGACATAAATTAAAAATTGGAATTACGTCCTAGACATCTCATTAGTGCAATTCGTGAAACAAATTTCTGACATTTGTAATATTTTGTCGCTATTCAAAATTTTTACGTCTACGCTCCGTCAAAAAACTTAATTCTAAATTACGCGGTTTTCGATTTGCAATGAAATATGTCAAAGTGTTATCCTGTTAATTACGAAGAAGAGTACGCTTTGTTAGTGGAAGGCCGTAATCCGCACGAAAATTGCGGCCCCACAAGCTCGCGATGGAGGAGGAATGTAAATTTATGTCCAAGATCGTACCATCGTAGTTATCCTTCCGGCGTCATCTATTGTAATCCCAAATTTTCTGCGGACAGTTCGCAAGCGACTCTTGCGTACGAAGGCGAGCTTGATGATTCATATGGAAGAGGCATTGCCGCATATTCCGTGATGGTTGCACAAAAGTACCCTTACTGTTTAAAGGCTCCTGATGCGCCAAGACTTTTGAAAGGTTCTGTTAAAGATGAACGCCCTATGTACTGCGACTACGGGAATATGTCACCACGTTCGAGTAGTAATAGAAGGCTGTATGAGCACCCGCAGTATCCTAAGGAATCAGTAACAGACGATGAAATTTCTGTGGAAGACTCAGACTCACCACGCCCAATTTTAAAAAACTCCAAAAGAAGTGTGCGCAATGATGGAAAGGGTAATTTACAATCGACTTACAGCATGGAGAAAATGGTGCGAAATTTAAATAACCTTAACAAGCACACTCTTGGTGGAAGAAAACTAAAGCCGGAAGAAGTACGGATGATAACCGAACGATTGAGGGGTAGACAACATGCTAATGATCAATACGTGTGCAACAGAAGCAGGTTTTTAAATAAAAGTTATGAGCAAGCTGCTAAGGTCTTAAAAGGAGCGCAAACTAAAGCAACACTTGGCAAAAAGGAAGAACCGAGCGACTCTTACAGCGTAACGAGGTTCCCTTATGATACTACAAAAAATTCCCAACTGAGAATTGACCATCGGTTAAGCAGGCGTCAGTTGGCAGTTTCATCCGATCGGCATGGACATATTTTCCTGGGCTCACAAAGATTGATACAACAAGTTAGTCCACAGTTTGCAGTTCTGAACCAAGCAGTATGCTCAGCCATACCTGAAGAACAACCTGAAACCACCGATCTGAAGTCGACAGAAATCGAGCATCCCGTCAAATTGCAAAAGGAAGGCAGCGTTACGATCGAATTCTCGTCAACAGAGATTACTCGAAAGCGCTCATCGCAAATTAGAAAAGGGAGAGGGTCCATTATACGTACAAGTAGACGAAACCGGCGAGTGAACAAACGCCCCCTAGCCGTTTGCACTTATACGCAGTTTGTGCAGAAATTAATTGCCACAACTGAAGCCACCGTTTACAAAGACAGCGGACATCTCCAGGAGGGCCAACAGAAGTCCAATCCTGTCGCTCCCTCGCAACGAAGCGAACCAAAACCTAGCTCGAACTCGCCTTCTCAGCAAATCCAAGCAAAACCGAGCTCTGTTCAATCGAACCCGGCTTCTCAGTTTAGCGACCCGAAACCTCACTCTGTTAAATCCAGTCTCAAAGTGGAAGTCTCTGAAATGTTGACAAAATTGGAAGAAATTCAAAAGTTACTTAGCAAAAATAAGGCGTCTTCCAAAGAGCTGGATGTCGTTCAGGAATTGCTGGACACTTCCGATAGGAATTTAAGCAGTGTGTTCACATCGGAATTGACAGTGTCGCGAAATGACGCCAAACCCAGTAAACACGTGACTTACAGCGTTCCAATCCCCGAAAAAGACGAAGCCGGAAGTAGCTCCCACAATGTGAAATCGCACGATCCCGTTTCCATATTATCTACACAATCTGCAATAATGTCACTATTATCAAGCATAAGTAAAAAATTGGTCTCGAACAAATCGTACGATAATGAAGCTACTGACGCTCAAATTTTTCAAGACATCTTCCATTCGGAAGAAGAAAGCAACAAGAAGCAAGAATCCAAAATACCTTTAAGCAAAAAAGGTGGGGCACGCCAAATGAACAGTCCGTCCATTGCGTCGAGCACATCAACTGTGTATCCATTACCGCGCGGAAATCTCCAGATCCCCAAACACTCCGCGCCTTCCGTCGTTACGGTCTTCCCAATTGAAACTCGGGTGAACGAGCAACCCCAAGTGACGAAGCCCGCGCGGAAACGTATCGGTAAGGTTGGTAAAAGGTACACAGCGGCTGAAAAACCATCCGACTCTTCGAGCGATAACTTGGACGAGATTAAGGTGAGAAGACGTAAACAGAAGGCCGGAAGCCCATCAACTACGCCAGGCGACAGTATCCTTCGGCCGTCAGTTTTAAGTTCCCTAAATAGCGCTCTGTGCATTATCATCGGGTTCCTATTTAGATATTTAAAAAGTCTGTTCATTCTTTGATAGTCATGAGGACCTTCTTGCCAAATAAAAATGTTGTCAATGTCGTTTATTATTACTTAGTTGATAAGTGCAGCCCCCAAACATCCACCTCCCGCGACCCAACCCTGGCCCAGAGGCATCAGGCTCCTAGACCCAACTCCAGTCAGACGGCCAAACGGATAGGTGAAGAGAAAAAGATACTGAAGTTAATGCTGACCCAATTGCTGAAGAAGAAGGGCAGATCACAGCCCCAACCAAAGGCATACGCCAGCAAGGCTCGAGCACTGCGCATTAGCTACAAGCAAGCTGCCGAAAGGTAACTCAAAGTAGCGATTATAGATACCAATAACCCTCTGGGTAGGCTAACGGCTAACCGAGCGGATAAGGGACAAAATCAGCTGGCCAAAGTTCTTGACCAGCATCTGTTCGCCCTAAAAGGCGCACCCACGTTCAGGGGTTGGAGGTACTCGGGCGAGATCCTAAGAATATCCTGCAAGAACTAGCATTCCCATGAGCGTTTGAAGGAGGTGGTTAGCACTTAAAGGTAGTGTAAGAAGACTGCCTTCCTAGGCGGCTGCCACAGCCGTGAAGGATCAACCTCCAGGGAGGCCGATAGTTTTCGGCATTGAGGAAAAGGACCAGGCTAACCTAATCGCCAGGGGGCGACGCTGGGTTATGGGTTTTCCTCTTTAAAAATGAGGGTTAGTAACCCTACCGAACCTGAGATGGGGAGTACATCAGTACAATCACCACATTAACATCAGCAGATGCCAGAGAGGCAACTGCAAGAAGCCACGGAAGCATCACCGCCCAAAACTGTCGCAACCCCAAGATAAACTGTAAACAATTTAGTAACTCAAGACAGCCAAACCCAGGGCTCTAGGTACCCGTGGACGCTGTCCACTCTCCTATCGTAATCCAGAAAACATAAACATTGATATGACTACTTATATTCTATATGTTGGAAAATTGAGTTAAGAATTCTGCATACTTTGGCCTCCTGCGTTTGAGTTTTTTTTTTTATTTCATGAACATCAGTGCACATGCAACATGTCAAATTAAAAAAACTTGTCAGTTTTCAGGTCCATTTCATTTTTTTTTCTAAATTTTGGTAAAATTAACTTGCATAACAGAAGTTAATTACTATACAGTTACGTATTCAAAATGATGTAGATGGCTCTAACGGTAAAAGAAGACACTTTTGATTTTTATCTTCGTTTTGCTAAACCTCTAGTACTGAATCTTACCGAACCGGATGGTACGTAGCTATCTATATTTGTTTCGATATACAAGGCCCATTACTCACAGACAGAGTTCTTGCGGCAGCGTGGATTCAGAAACTTCGCGATGAGAGCGTTGGAGACACTCGTCTCAGGACAGATTACCTGAAGCTCTTACTTTTCGTTTTACAACGTGATAAATTAATAGGGCCATTTGCGGAAAATCCAAATATCCACCAACAGCTCAATGAATTTCCACAGTACAAGGTGAAGAGCCTACTTATTACGCCCTTTACAATATTTTTTTAGTTAAATGACGTGGCCAAAGAACTTTTGGAGTCAGAGGAACAATTCCATAAAAAACGTACCGAAGAAGGAATTGGCGGAGAAAATCCGCCGTACACCACAGAATACTCTGCAGATCTACTGGAATATGCAGCAGCCCAAATTATACCGAACTTTGGCATTCATGCCTACTATGCAATTTCTAACGAACCACTATCCAGCTGGAAAAGAACAGAAAAAGCAGTTTTTCCGAGAGGTTTTTGTTTTTTATCGCCACAAATATCTTAAAAATGCCATTACAGGACCATCCAGTGCAACCGAAATTGGTCACACGCAATCGCCCCAAGTCAATGAATCACTATCCCAGCCGTCAATGGCTTCCAAACACGTTAAATTTAAATTTCAACAAAGAACTATATTTAATTCCCCCGGTTACTCAGGTCCGGTTCCTCCAAAATCGCCAAAAATGTCGACGTCACCTCCCTTTACTAGTCCACCAAAGGGCGAGGGCGAAGGAGAACGGACGCCTCCAACTTGGGGTTCAAATTTAATAGGGGTTACAGAACCTCCCGTCTTAGATCGCACTCCACCATCCCCTTTATTTAAAGAATTAATGGATGAATTGGGAATGTCAGTACGGTCCTCCTCGGAAGATACTAGTCCCAGTAGAAACGCAGCGGTGCGATTTACCCCTAAACATGGCGCTCAAGGGACCTCACCCCTCATTTTACCAGAAGGATTTGAAGACATTCTCGACGAACAAGAACCTAGTTTCGTGGAAGATTTTTATTCCCCACCGCCTTTAAGTCCATCGAAATATCCGAAATCGTACAGGGAAATGATTTCGGAAGAATTTGATCGTCTTATTGATGACCGGCAAAGCCCTCATTCGAAACTACCAAAGACTCCACAGAGATCTCCGAAACCGTACACTTCGTCCAGCCCCGCAAGAACACCTTACTGTTCTCCAATTCTACCGGAAGGGCACAGAGACCTATTTCTAGAAGATGAACCCAGTTTTATAGGAGGTCCATTTTCACCTCCTCCTTTAAGTCCGGGTGAAACTTGGGGAATTGCCCATACATCTGGCGCTTATGTTGACGACAGTATATTGGAGGAAGAACCTTGTCCTGCTTCACCGAGGCCACAGACCCGAACAGGTACACCAAGTCCTATAAAATCCCCTTGCCCAGCCAATCCTTGTTCTCCTCGGCCGATGACGCGAACGCCAAGTCCCGCAAGGACACCAAAACCCTACGCTTCACCAATTCGACCAGAAGATGTTGTAGGGAGTGCTTTTCCGTCTCCCTCCTCAAGTCCAGGCTTTGCAAGTACATCTGGCGCTTACATTGACGAGGATGTAGTAGAGGGGGAACCTGGTCCCGCACCTTCTTCACCACGGCAACCAATTCGAACTGGTACGCCAAGTCCAACAAAATCACCTTGTGGAGTCGGGCCTTGCTCCCCTCGACCGATGAGTAGAACAGGGACGCCAAGTCCCGCAAGGCCACCAAGGACACCAAGTCCAGCAAGGCCACCAAGTCCCGCGAGGATCCAAAGACCTTACGTTTCGCCAATTTTCCCGGAAGGAGGCGCAGACTTATTTCTAGAAGACGAGCCTAGTTTTATAGGAGGTTTCTCGCCTCCTGCTTTAAGTCCAGGTGAAACTTGGGGAATTGCACCTTGTTCGCCTGGCATACAACCTCGAACGGGTACACCAAGTCCAACCACTAGGTCCCCAAAACCCTACTACACCCAGATTCTAGACGAAGAGGGAGATGATCTAATTTTAGAAGATACGCCTAGCTTCATGGAGAATGCTTTCTCACCTCCCCCCTTAAGCCCGGGCGAAGCTTGGGGCGTAGTTCGAGGTACACCACCCGACGAATTCGATGCATTTGATCAAATGCTGGACGAATTTGAGAAAGAGGAACCAAAGAGCATCCGTCGTCCACCTCCAAAACGTACAGGAATCCCTTTACCGCGTGGAACCAGTAGGATACCAAGCGCATCGCGAATACCAAGAGCAGGAGGTTCGGCGACAGGAATTCCTAGTCGAACGGGCCCATCGCAAGGATCCAGGATACCCCAACCTGGTCAAAAATCTAGATCGCGTACTTCACGGCTCCCAACTAAACGCACTGCCCCTACTAAAGAAGTTGATATCTTGTTCGTAGACGACCCAAGCTTACCCTTGCGAACTCCTTCACCAAAACGGCCAGACAACGTGATTGAAGAAATTCCCCTCGTCAGTTCGCCCTATCCAGCCTCGCCAGTTCGCCAATTACAGCAACCTCCCGACCTGTTAGAAACACTCGGATTATCCTCGAACGATCTGGGAGATTTGGAGCAAGAAAACGAACCCGTAATCCAAGAACCAACGGTTGCGTACACAAGCCCAGTTGAAGAAGTGTTTGAAGAATCCGAAGAACCACAAGAATTAGAATTAGCACGCCCCCCTCTTCTGTCTGGAAGCTCACCTGCGGCGCAAGACATAATCGAAACCTTTAATAGAGAAAACACAGGTGACTTTATAGGATCTTATTAGAAAGTCAATGATTAAATTTTATTTAGTTATAGAAGCTTTTCCTGGCGAGGAAGCTGCTATGCTCCCAACATTATCCGAGGGTGTATATTTGGACGATATTGACTTCCCGGAAGCAGACGAATACGAAGAAATGCACGTGTCTGAACGATCACCAGGTGCAACAAGGGCAGATGTATCTAGACAGCTTCGCGATATACAAGCAGACTATTATCAGATGAAATCGACGAGTCCAGCTGATGCAGGAGTTCCGATAACAACGCCTCGAAAATCCCCCATTCCCAAGAGACCCTTAAGACTATATTTTGAGGACGAGGATCGTGGATTTACGTTTACAGTTCCCGAATATCAAAGCCCAGATCGGTTACAATTTGAAACGCCACCGTATTACACCACCAGTCCTGGATCGCCGGCATCGCCAAGCGAATTTCCCGATGAATACGGTTTACCTAAACCATTCACATTTGCAAAGCTGCAACGGATGAAACGGCGAACACCAAGTCCTTCGCCGCCGCAAGTATCTCGTACCCCGCGCACTCCTTCACCAAGTCCTCAACGATATAATGAAACTGATGTTTTGACGGCGGCTATTCCCCAGTTCGAGTTCCCTCGGAGCCCACCCAGAGAATACCAGCAAGAGTTTCAGGCCGAAGTACCTCAGCAGGCAACTCGTTCCCCGCGTAGCCCTTTACCAAGTACTCGGCCGCAGTCAACGGCGATTTCGGGAAGTCCACTACGCACGCCACCACCATTTGTCCCACCAGAATGGAGCATTTCGCATTTGCTGACAGAGGATACAGATATTTTTGAAGAACCTTTTGATTTTCCTTCAAGTCCTGAACCCATACCTGAGAAAGGTTATCAGTTACCAGTCTGTGAAGGAGAAGATGATATATTTTCTGAAGAAGCGCCACTTGATTTATTTGATGAATTATTAAGTCCGGATTCCCCTAAAACGCCACCACAAAAACGTAGGATTCCCAAAATGTCTGTAAGGTCACCTAAACGCCT